CCATTCGTTATTACTCTTTTTTCTTTACGCCATTGTGGCCTTTGCGCTTATTCTGGCGGATATACCATTGGCGGTAGGCCTGATCCGTGAAGGCTTTAACCTTCCGGGAAAAGATCTGAAAGAACTTTTTAGAGGGGATTTTTGGACAACCATCGGAGAGAGTTGGGAGATTTGCCTGACCTCATTGGGCATTTCCCTATGCACCATTTACATCAAGATATATTATGACGAATTTGTAGGAACGCCCTTTGCCAGCCGGTTTATGACCTTTCGGCAATTCCTTGCTGAGAATGATATTAATGCCTCGGAAGATATAGTGGCCGTCAACAAAGAGCACAGGAGAAAAGTTTTATGGAAGTCTGTATTCTTCGGTTTTACACTCCTTTCAATCCTGGCTTTAGCAATTTTTAGACTTACGACCGCCGCTAAAATGAAGGATGCAAAAACCGGAGGTTTTGATGTTGACTTTTTCAGCGGTGCAGCATTTGTATCAATAACGATCCTGTTCCCATTGATAGGTGGTATCTGCCTGTCTTACGCCCTTAATAATCTTCAAAACCGTACTCGTCTCTGGCGGGCAAGGATACAAAATAAAATTGCCAGAAAGCGCTGGCTGAGAACCATTGGAACGGCAACGGTTGTAGAGCGGAACTATAATGATATGGTTGCAGCACATAAACGTTTATCAGACGAAACTAACCAGGTAAAGGAGTATGAAATGTATCTGCTCGCTTCCTATGAAAGAGGGTATGCTATTGGCGGTATGCAGTCACAGAAATATGTACAGGGGGAGGATTTCTTTACCAAAATATACGAGTGGAGAAACCTCGCCATCTCCCGCAAAATCAATAATCATATCTGTCATCTCGCAAACGAGCAAAATCAATAAACATGAAAATATATGCTTTCTCTATCCTGCTTATTGTAGGAATTACCAGCTGTAAGCAGAATGAATCTACGGCGGAGAAACAACCTGTCGTTGAAAAAAAGCCTGTTGTAAAAAAGTACTGTTATGTGCTCTGCGATTTTTCCGGCAGCCAGGATCAATCAAGTATTGATGTGATTTCAGAAAATGCAGAGGCCATATTTGAAAAAGCAAAGCAGTACAATATCCGCTATTACGACATTACGTCCCCCGACCTTGAACGTGCTTTTTTTCGATCTGATCCGCAGGAGGACGATTTGATTGAAACGCCAAGCCAAAAAAGAGAGCGGTTGAGCATGGATACCGCCCGGTTGGATTCTTTGTCAGGTCTTATAACAAAGATGCGGTCTGCTCCGCTGTCCGGCAGCACCTGTATCATCACAAGTATC